CCCGCCGCCCCATCCCCAGCCTCCAGTGGACCACACACATGCACCCGCGGCTCCAGCCTTAAGCTCTCAAGCTCCCACAAGCAGGCACAGACCTGAGGAGGGAGGGGTACTTTCCCTGCTCTGGTTTAATGGCGCAGGGCTTTGCCTCACAGAGGCAGGAGAGAAGAATTGGGCAGGTTTTTTACTGAACTCATTGGGACTACTGTGCTAGTTGTGATGTTTTATAATGCTGGCATTTAATACTGGAGAATGAGATTTCTTGGGTGATGATTTAGTTATTTGTGCATTATGGAAGTTTAGGAGCATTGCTGTATAGAAAATGTCAGTCTATCAACTTTATTAGTGTGCTAAAAGGGGACATTATTATCCTGTCCTGTCTAAACTGTTCTCCAGTATAGACTTCTTAGGCACAACGTATTTAGTCTAGTACTTAAAGGAACACAGCATGTAAGGAATGAAGCCTCTGAAATAGTAATCATGGGTGTATATGTGGCAGACCTTACTGTGTCTACACATTTGGAAGTGTTAATTGGTTTAAGGAAATGATAGAGATTTTGAACTACTGACAATCTTAAAAGTGAGTTTAAAAACTTTTCATACTTTTTATGGTGTAAATTTCCTTTGCTTGGTGTCAGTGATTCAGATAACTCTTGATCTTGAGGTATTGGCTTTTCAAAGGTTTCTTATATTTTATATCTCTTCTGGATGAGAATTGTCATTTTACATTTTTGACATTTGTATCAAAAGAGAAGTTGAGGAAATCTTCAGAACACCAGTAACTTTTAAATTTATTACTATAGACTTCAGAAGTGTTCGATTATGTGTTTGATAAATGCTCTTGCACGTGCAGGATCTTCTGCCAGCAAACCCAAGGGACCACAGCCTTTTTTATATGAGACAGGTCACTCTAGAGGACTATCCAAAATTTATTAAAGGAAATGCTACTGTGTCGAAAGTATGCCTAAATAAGTATTAATAATGTCCTTATAATTTGTTTCCTTTAGATAAATTCTGGAATTTGTATATTCTATACAGGAGGAGGTGTGAAAATTGGGAAAGTGGTTTTTTTTTGTCTTTTGTTTTTTGTTTGTAACTGGGAGTGGGTGGCTCTTCGGAGACCTAATGGTAAGAGTAGGGGTTCATTATCACAAGAAATAAAAACCATAGATATTTTTTTCTTAGTGTGTAGAGGTTGTTTTATGGCAATAATTAATATTAGATTTCTATTTCAGTACATAAGTATATGAATTATATAATATGAATTGCACTCCCAGAACTAGATTTCTGCTTTAGTAGGTTTGTTTGCTGTGAAGATCACTTCTCAAAAGACAAATGTTCATACTAGCTTAATTTTTGGTTTAAATATGTTTGTAAATGATGTAATATATTTCTTTTGACTAAACATGGGAAAAATAATGTGTGTTATACATTGAAAAGTTTTTAAAGGCTTTGATTGGAGGTCATTTTTGCAGAGAGGGTATTTTATATGCTTCCAGTATTTGGAAAAGAATTAGTCAAAAGGAATTCACATAGTTTAAATATTGAAAAATTAATATCCAAATAATGTACTTGTCTGATTTCTTAATAAGCTGGGGGGTGGGGTGGGGATTGTAATGTGCAAATGAGTAGTGAACTCTACATTCATTTTTCAACTCTTTAACATAAAACTGTTAAATCTTAACACATTGTTACTTTAATATATGTATAAAGAAGTATTACTGTTTGTAAAGCTGCTGTTTGCTTTTAAAAAAAAAAAACCTCTGTCATTTAAGTATTTTCTGTACGTTGTGCCAGCAGGTTAAAATATTAACTTATACCATTTAAAAACGTAATCATTTTTTGCTTTTAAAATTTTTCTGTGACATAATTTATTTAAAGACATCTTCCTCCTCCCTTGCCCTTTCCAGCCTTTATACACATCACAGAGTAAGCCAAACTGTCTGCCTAATCCAAAATCTGAATCCCAATTAATGATAAAAATTTAAACTTTGTTGGCACAACACACCTTAAAAGTATTTGTGTTATTTTGTAATTTAATTTCTTAAGTATACCACATGAATTTATAATTTAATGTCTTAATTGTAATGCTCTAATAAAAAACTAGCAAAATTAGTGAATTATAACATGAAAAGATTTTCATCTTGTTCTTTTGTTGTATGAAGGATAATTGTTATTTCACACTTTAGGAGTAATAACAGCTTTTTTTGCACTTTGTAAATACTAGTGGAGATTCTTCTGTAACTAATAAAATGATTATTGAAATGTAGTCTATCATTTCAGAATAGGTACTTAAGGGATTCATGACCTGCCCAACATGTAGGATAGGGAAAAAAAGAGAAGTCTAGCTCATCGCATTGCTTAGTGCCCTGATGGGTTTGCCAGAGAAGGTTGTAAAATCTGCAGGAGGAAATTACTAGTAAAATTTCCATTTGGAAGGGTTGGTGTAATCTGTGGCACAGGCCAAGGCATCTGCAGAGACCATCCTGGTGTTAGGAGAAAGCCCCTACAGATTTCTTCTCCTTTTTATGCTAGTTATTCTGTGCCAGGCACTGTTCTAAGCCCTTTCAATATTAACTCATTTAATCCTCACTACAGACCTCTGGGGAAATGCTATTTTTCACTTTTAAGGGATGAAACGGTCATGGAGATGTTCAGTAACTTGCCCAAGATCTCACAGCTGGTAAGTGGCAGAACTGGGATTCAGACTTAGTCCCACATCAACGGTCATGCCTGTACTCACTATGCTTTGTTGTGTCTTAGCACAAAATTCTCAGAGTTGCAAACAAAACTGTGTTTCCCTCACCTTCCTCAGGTGTCTTCTGGAATGTGAAGTGTGCCAGGACTGAACTGATTTTCGCAGGGACTGGATTTTATTGAGTCTCACTTAGAGTGGTCCCTTGTCACTATGTCACAGGGGAATGTAGGAATCTGAGGAGTAGGCTCATCTGTTAGAAAATAGGATCACTAATTTTCATAATGAAATGGATTTTTGCTGATCACAAAAAGAAGGGAAAAAAAAAAAGAAAGAAGGGAAAAAAAAAAGAAAGAAGGGAAAAAAAAAAAGAAAGAAGGGAAGGCTCATCAGTTGTATCAGAATATTCCCCTTTTTTGACCACCATTTGTATCATTCCCAATAGTTCTTTTCCTAACGGCGATCAGTTTTTCTTTAACTGACCAGAAGAGGGTGTGCATGACACCTGAAAAGTCAAAGGCTACCCCGTAAAATTAGTAAGTATTTAAAATGGGGGGAGAAGGGAGAGAAGTATCCTAAGCAGTGGGCCTTGCCATGAAAGGTGCTTAGTTCTAAGGCTAAGCTCAGAACTCCAGAACCATACATTTCATTTTAGAAAGAGAAGAGAACACAGTCAAGACATCTCATGTGTTAAGCTGTTAGGTCTTTTGACATTTCTAAATTACCTTGGCAATTCAATATTTTAGCTTGGCTTGGGTTCTTATGTTGCATATGTGAAATAAGGTACGTGGCTAATTGTATAATAGGTATCAAGGGCAGCCTTGTGGATTGCAGGGCCAAAGCATGCTCAACTAGAACTTCGCAGTGCAAGGTTTGGAAAAATCAGGATGCTTCCATTTTGGACCCAGGCTTGATCCCTGTATTTCTCCTTACCCTACTCCTCCC